TCATCATTGATGTTTCTATCCCTCTCTCTCCCTCTCCATTCCTCTCTCTGAAATTAATAAAAACATATTAAAAAAATAAAATAAGTAAATAATAAGTATTACATAAAATATCATTTCAACAGAACTTCAACTTAATAACAAATGAAGTCATTTTTGCAGCAAAACAAGAAAGTGAGACAACAGAGAAAAAAGAATGAAAGGTCAAAAAAGGGCAGTCTCAATGAACCAGATAAAATATTAAGTGGCACTCACTGTTTGTGTCTTTCACAGAATGTCACTGTCAATAGAAAGAATGCAGGAAAACATTACATTCACCACAAGAGAACATTCTTCTTATCTCTTTTATCAAGACAGTGAGATCAACTCCATTTAGCTATTTTTCCAACGTACACAGTGACCCTCAAAATAAATATGACTTATTTATCTAGTTTTGCTCTCAAATTTGGGGTGCTACTTTGACATTATTTGCCAATATTTTTCAGGCTTCTTTAATGCCAGGAAGAAAGTGTTCTTAATTCCCATAATTGTGAAGATTTTTTTGGTCAAAAATAAGTCACAGCTATTTACATAGAAAACAGGATCTTGACCTTGCTGCACTGGGTCTTCCATGCCATTTTGCTCCGCTGTAGTATCTGAAGTCATTGCTAATCTAATTATGCACATGGATCCTGTTTTCTGCAACAATTTTATTAGGGAAGACATTGGAATGAAATTACTTTAAATACAGCCAACTCCCACCCTCAACAACTGATTACCTTGTGTATGGATTAGCCATTACCCAGGATACCTAGTAAGGCCATTCTCGCCATTTCTGTAGTCTGTGGGAAGGGAAGGTACTGAAATTCAAATGATTCAAATTCGGTAACATGGTAAATATATACGATAAAGTCCAGAATAAGAGAGTGAAAGCATTGTTTAAATCGAGGCCTTGCATGTCAATTACCCTCTCTGTCTACTGACCTGCCAATACCCGAATCATCAATCACGCCTCTGCCCAGCAGAACAGAGGGCTGAGAACACAACAAAACAAGCTCTGCCCAAGGAGAGGATGATCCATTATTACTCCACCTCTCTTGGTTTTATTTGACAAGAGAAGGGAAAGTGAACAAGACAGGGGGAGCACAGGATAAATACTATTAGTCACTAGTTTCCCTTGAAAACCTCCCACAATGTTAGAAACAAAGCAGGAGCTCATTAAATACTGTTTAAATCAATGCTAACAGCCAGAAGACTACGCAAAACATGATAATGCTCCAGAGACAGTATCTTTATCTAGACCTTCTCATCTAAGCCATTCATTTTTACCCTTTCTCCCAATTACTCTGCATTTTCTCTTTAATTCCCCCTTAAATGTCTTAACTGCTTCTCCACTGAAGTATGAACTCCATGACTTCAGAGCTATCTCTCTTTGTGTCCCACACACAGTTCTCCGGAAAAATTCCTTCAATACATGTTCTTAGAGCTCCAAATGAAAAGCTACAGGTTGTCTCATCTACAACTGACATCTACTTTTTTACTGCACAGACATCTAACAAAATAGCTCATGATTCACAAAATTTCACACTCAAGAGGATACAGATTCACACCCTTGATTTTTATGGCTTATTAAGTCGAAACATCATCTGCCCTTATAGTGGGTCATGACACACTGAAAATGTAAGAACTGATCACTGCTGTTACTCAATTCATTTTTACCTTTCTGAGTACAAATGTCAATGCAAGAGAGCTGTGAAACTTGCCATGTGCTGGAACAAAAGAAAACAGGACAGTCTCAATGGGCACTCACTATTAAGTGGCACTCACTGATGTGTCTTTCACAAAATGTCAATGTCAGTAGAAAGAATGGAGGAAAACATTACATTCAGAAGAGAATATTATTCTTATCTCTTTTATCAAGACAGATCAACTCCATTTAGCTATTTTTCCATCGTAGATGGTGACCCTCAAAATAAATATGACTTATTTATCTAGTTTTGCTCTCAAATTTGGGGCGTTACCTTGACATTATTTGCCAAAATTTATTATTTGTGATTGCTTGGACATACCAGTATTACCTTCTAGTTACTTTTGAGACTCAGCAAAGGTAGTGTAGTTGTAAAGATGCCTATTAGTAGCATGTTATGCTTACAAAAAGTGTCTCCAGAGTCTCTAGAACTGTAATTTTATCCTTAGCTTCTTAAGTACAAGTGACAACATTAAACCGTAAAGCTACAGTTTTCTGTACTGACAGACACCCATAACGGTAACCACTTAAACACTTTATTTCGTTTCTGATGAGCAATCCAGCATGGAGAGTCACTCACTATAAAAAGAATTTCTTTGGTTTTAACAAAACTTGAAAGAATTGTTTTAGAAAATTACTGTGTATCTTACACAACATAACTACCCACACTGATAGTAGAGATTCAATGGGCTAAAGTGCAAAACAATATGAGCAAAGCAAAGCAACGTGACCTGGACACAGTAGGCAGGGAGCAGGCAAGCACTCCAGTCTTGCAGCAGCTGCTGGTGAGAGGGTGGGAGGGACAAAGATCCCATGGCTGAGGGAGTAGGAGAGGGGAGGTGGGGGACACAACACACAGGAGACCAACTGCTGAAGTGAGGTTGACTTGTTAAGCTACACGGTCCTACCTCTAGCTGTTACTGCTTGATGGTGGCGTATGTGGGGAAGGGGGGGAGGGAAAGCAGGTTTTTAGAAACCTGTGTAAATAGAAAATGCTCATATAAGGTGCAGGGGCTAGGGGAGTAGGCTGAAAGGAAAGTGGATTCAGATACACGTGGTCTGGGCAGACAGATATATAAGAAAAAAAGGATGCTACACAATTCCCATCAGATCGGTAAGTCTTTAACACGTACTTATTTGCAACCAAATGCTAATATTGCCATTGGGCATTCTTAGTACTGACTGCTAACCCTTGCTAGAGTTTTAGCTTACTTGATGCTCCAAAGACAAAACTCCAATCCTGCATAATTTTTCCGAAAGATTTTTCCTCTTTTGATCTGCAAGTATAAACAAATGTCATTTCTGTATTTCTCCCAAGGAAAGAATTATGTGGAGTAAAGATCAATTGTTATAACAATGCCTCTGAGACCGCATGTCAAAGTTGGGAGTCAATTTCCTTTTGTAAGACAAATGTGAAAACAGAATACCATGAATTTTGATCTATATAGGCAGCTTCTTAAGGATTTCCCCAAACTCCATATGCCAAAAATAATATTACCCATGCCCAATTATTTCTAAGACCACATAAATTTACATGCTGTATTATGCGCCCATTTATCTTCATGAGGCTCCTGTGTGCCCTGTTACATTAAGGCATGAAGGGCACGATCTTTTGTACTATCTCAGAAACAAGTCCTCCCTTCCCTTTACAAGTCACCCCTGTGCTTTACAATGACTTCTTTATTTTTCACAAGTCAACTGTACAATATCTGCTTCGTTCCCCAACGAAAATGAATACATGCAAATTCGCAGTCTCTTTCCCGTTAATGTTAACTGAGATTAAAGCATCTATGGTAGAAATCCCAAAGCCACATGCTCACATGTATATCATCTTTAAAAAAAGTTTGACAGTGGCTGATTTAAAACAAAACAAGTAATAAAAAACAACCTTTGGCAAAGGCCAAAGGAATCAAAACTACACCGTCCCATAACCACAGCACCACTGTATCCACCCTTCAAACATGTTTGCTTCAAACATTACAACCCATCCATTTACCAAAACCACAGCTTATGCCCAATTTAGAAAAGTAAAGTTCACGGACTTATTAAACTACACAACTTCAGACAGAAGGTTCAAATGCCTTGTCTACGCCTGGCAATTACACGGCATCGGAGCTGGAGAACTGCATTTTTAAGCTCAGCATCAGCAGCCCACTGCTGGCCACCTCCTTGACACGATAAACAACCGACATCTTCAAAGAGCATTAACTCGTCCCCCTGGTGCCATCGCTGAATGAACAAGAACAAATGGCTCCACACACATGCTTCAGGAAGAGGGGCTGTGTTTGAGCCTCAATCCATGAAATATAACTACTGTACATACTTAAGTTTATTCTCTCACATTTCAGCAGCTTTGTTTCCTCAAAGAAGGCAAAGAGCAGGTCCCTGAAAGATTTTAGCGAGGTTTCTTTTGGCACTGGAAAAAATTGTGATAAACTGAGAAAACACAATCCTGAGGAATGTCTGGACCAGGTCCCTTTGCAATACTTAAATAGCGCCCCCCTACTGGGCTCTGCCACAGCAGCCAGTGGAGAAACCATCTTAGAGCTTAAGAAGCGGGTCTACAGCCAACATGCACAGAGGAGGAACTCAGATTCTACATATAAAATAGGGGGGTCAAGAAATACGGAAACATTTCCCCCTCTCCCACCAGACCTGATACTTTCCCTCACCTTAAGGAAGGCAAAATATGCTAAACCTGAAAACAGAGGCCAACGCTGGTCTGAAAAGGAACTTGAAAGAAATCCAAAAACTCCTTTTGGCCAAGCCCTTCCTCTGCGAGTTAATTTTCCTTGATGTCGCTCCAACACCTGTTCAACTCAGGCGTTCATGTGATTCATTAGTCTTCTTCTAAAAGATGCAAGGGGACTCTCCACGATTCCCAAAGTTTTCTCAGTGCACTGCTGCAGGAAAATGCTCCATGTCCTGACCTCAAACTGTTGTAAGAGCAGAAGGTTCCGTCTAGAATGGTGGTTTACCATTGAACGCTCATCACGACACACGGGTGTGCAGATCTGTCGGGGGGAGACAGAGTGCTGAGGGCACACAACAGCTCTTTTATCACTCTCCAAGGACACAACCTCAAGCTGAAGCTAGCTGGAAGAGCACTTTCATTTCAGAAATGGAAACGAATGAATGCCACTGAATTCCAATACAAAAAACCAACCAAAAACTCCTAATGAGCACAAAAACCATGAAGGGACATCAGTGCTAGGAACAAAGGATTCTGATACGGCAAACTTCTAAAAATGTTTAAATTAAAAAGTAATCAAGTCACCTTTTCTGGGCTGGGTTCTGTACGTCCAGTTCTCATCATCCGCCTCCACCTGCTGCCCGCAAGCCGAGAGCTCCCCGTCACTGCGAAACAGCCTCTTTGTCTGCCTGGACAGGGAGGAGAAATTTACCCAACTCACAGCACGTGAGAGCGAGCCTGAATTTGACTTGAGTCTGAAGGAACCCGAAGAGCCTTCCTTTTTCATCTTCTTTCACATCAAAATCCACTACAGACAAAGGACAGCCCAGAAAACAAAAAGCTGCTTTTTAAAAATTGGTCCAGGTCCTTTAAATGAGCCTGCTCCTTCCCACTTGCTCAGACAATGCTGAGAATCAGGCACGGCTTTATGCAGAAAGATTGTGTCTATGTCACTCAATGACAAAGAAAAGGGAAATCGAGGGTTAAAAAAAACAACAATTATTTTTACTCCGGCCACATTGTGGTACTTGGTTTCTAGATTAGGGATAGCCACGCCCCCCAATAAAACAAAAATAAATAAAAGTACAATTTAAAAAAAAAAATCAAGCAGGGTGTTCATTTCAGGAACACTTGTCAGGACTTTGCAAAGAACAGAACCAAGGCACTCCGACTCTTTGGTGTGCACCTAGCATCCCAACCTGTAATCCTACGCCTCTCCCAGGCATCTTTCCCTGCAAGGGCGGAAAGCCAGCCAGAGCGTGTGGCAGACAGGAGCTCCTCACTGGAGAGAGAGATTCAGCGTCCCCCAGGCGCCCGGTTTAGAGTTCACCCGAGCAGGTGACTTGGGAGAAATCAGAGTTCAGCTCACTTGTCGCAGCCCAGCGCAGAATCGTAAACCGCCCACTGGCCTCTTTCCCTGCCCGGAGCTGGCATCCACAGGACTCCACAAACAATAAGACAGGCTGCGTGGCTATTGCCTGGATCAGAGTGAGCACTCCTGTGAAAGACGATAGGCCTTCCCCAGCCTGAAGGCGCCTCATTGGAGCGGGGAAACCCCGCCTCTGCACAGCCAGTGCTTCAGTGGCAGCTCAAACTTCTGAACTCCAGCAAAGCTACGGAAACGCAAGTCTGTGCAGAATACAGACTGTGGGGATGAGAAACAACTTGATTATCAGCAGACCACGCTTCGGAAAGTGGGGTTTTGAGAAGGGGTTTTAAAAGAGTATATAGTGACATACACATCCAGCCCCCCTAGGTGGATTTAGGAACGTCACTGTCTAAGGAAACGTGCTTCCAAGGAGAGTAAAACTGACCCAGCTATTCCTTCATGCCCCGCTTTCAGCAAAGGTGAAATGAGCCATTCTTGCACCTGTCATGGTCTCTCCTGTCTTCCCCCAGCAGCCAGTGTGGGGATGAAGGCCCTCTTCTGCTTGCTCCCCTGGCAGCCCCTACCCTGGGATCATACTTCGCTAGCTCTGAACGGCCTTCCTTCCTATTAGGGAGAACCATCGCCTGAGAGCCATGCTAGTAGCAGTTAGCTGTAGGCTCTACTCTGCAGACTCCTATGTAAACCCTTAATCATGACATGCAACATACCTACAGCCACAGGCTAGATCACATCTGGGCACGGCATTCCATCCAAGGCCGACATAATGCCATGGTCTGAGGAGTGGTAAAAGTCCCTGCAACTTTCCATCATATATTAGCCCCCTCTCCAAAACGTAATTTAGAGTAAGGCTAATTAGCAACAAGTTGAGAAATGGGTCTACCTCACTTTCCTTTACTCAGAATTGAGCAAATATATTAAAACTAACCAACTGCAATAGAAAATAAATGTTGATTACAAATTATAAAAGCAAGATTTTTAAATATATTAAATATATCTTATATATAGAAAATCATCTATATATAAAAGTCATATGTCTACAACGCATTGAGATTTTAAGAAAAGGGCTCTACAAGCTTACCAGGTTTGGAACATTTGCAGAAAAACACAGAGCTGCTGCTAAGTGTTCTTGGGGTGGACAACTCCTACTACCACAGGAACCAGGACAGAGGACAGGCACTAGGACTGAAGGGTAAAGTCACAGAACAGTCCAGGTGATGCGGATACAGACTCAGTTTAAAAGCAAAAAGGGCCCTCAAGAGATCATGTTGTTTAAACACCTCAATTTACAGGTGGAGAAATTTAGGCCCAGAGAAGGTATGTGACAACCCAACCTACAGAGGAGTCAGCAACGGAACAAGGTCATGTCAGACACCACTGGGTTGAAAGCTTCACCATGTACCACGGATGCTAGCTACACCACCAAGCACTCTGGACCCACTTCAGCTATTAAACTGGAATGATATCTCTACTTTGATCACTAGTATAAGGGCAAAAATGGTATAAATTATGTATAGTGCCCGTGGCTAACATCAAAGTTCAAACACCCAGTGTTCTTTCTGAGTCAAAGGCAGTTTTGAGATTCAAAATATCAAAAGCAAAAAAGGACCATAGTGCCAGAAAATACATAAACATCGCAAATGCTGCTTACCATTTCAGAGATGCATGACACCCGTTGTAGAAGGATCCACAGATCCCAAACAAGACACACAATTATCTCCTCCTTGATGTTTCCACACTGCAGCTCCATTTTTTAAAAAATGTTTTTATTGATTTTAGAGAAAGAGGAAGGGAGAGGTAGAGAAAGAAACATCGGTGTGAGAAACACCTACCGCTGCCTCCTGCACACCCCCTACTGGGGATCGAGCCCGCAATCTGGGCACGTGCCCTGACTAGGAATCGAACTAGCGACCTCTTGGGGCATGGGATGATGCTCATGGCTGCAGCTTTATTTTTAATATAGAAATATCTAAGCTCTGAACTAAACCTTGTGCTGTTCTTTCTGTACAGTCAGTGCTGTGGAATGCTTTTCCCAGCTCAGGCTCCTCAGAGTGCTCACACAATCACATACAATGGCACAGATGAACTGGTGTCATTAGTAACTGGTGTGCTTTCCTCCGGCACCTCCCGTTCCTACACACATCTAGGAAAGAGCTGAAAGCAGGGGCTAGAGGAACAGTCACTGCCAAGCCACCAGGAAGGATACCTGTCAATTCAGGGACTAGACTCCTGACTCCTTCAAAGTAAGTACACACTTAGGCTGACTTTCCAAAAACCTTAATGAATTTCCCATTATTCACAAGACCTATGGGTACATCTGCACAATAACCAGTTCTCCAGCCACTAGCTCATCCATCTTTCCATCAGGCCATGATTATTAATATCTTCATTTATGTAAAAGAAGGTCAAATAAATTAACTACTGTTATGACTGGACCAGAGTTCTATGTGGCAAGGTAGATTATAATGGTTTAAATCAGCTTTAGAGGAAACATTTAGATTTTAACTATCCATGTTGGACACATATTCCAATTAGCTTAGAAAATCATAAGTGGGCTCCTTGAAAAGCTATTATGTTCATTCAAACTATAATTTGGCAACTAAGATGAACCACACATTTTAATTACCTGGACCATCAACCCAAGAGTCCTGCACACCCCCCTCCCAGCAGCAGGGTCATGGCTACCTGTGTCACGCACTTCCTATACATTACTGCTCATGTTCCCAATAACCCTGCAGTGGAAAATGCCAATTTTGAGAATACAGTCTACCTTTTTCAAATAGCTTCAGCTATAATCTTCAATGTGATAAAACATCTTAATTTAACCATTCTCCCCATGAAAATCTGCAACAGAGAACACTCTTTCAGACTCTTTAAACAGGCGTGCTGAACAGCTTTTACCCACATCCCTCACTGTGCAGTGTTCCCATCTCTCCTCTCACTGTCGGGCTGTCAAACAGAAACTTCTGTTGTCAGTTTATATGCCAATAACTGCTCCCTTCTCCAGTAGCCCCTCCTTTCCCCAGTAACTGCTCCCTTCCTACCTCCCTGCCACAGCTGAGCTTTAGGCATCGGGAAATCAGATAATCTTGCTTACATTACACGTTCAATGGGAGTCGACGAGGGCTGACAGAAAGAAACACATACCTTCGGTAACAGGGCCTTGTCGCAGCTGCCTCCTGGCCAGCACCCTTGTCCTTTTACTTACGGGATGGACATCCAAGGGTTGAAATGGCTGGAGGATCTACACCAGGTTTATGATTAAATTCCTAGCTCTTGAAGATGGTGAGAAGCTTACCCATGATTACTACCAAAAGGATAAGAAATTACCCTATGTTCTTTCAGGAATGATTTAAGTAATACATTAAAGACAAGCTAACTACAAGAACTGGGAGACACCAGACTATACTACTAAGGGAAGTTCAAGAATCACCTTTGGGAATTACTGAGTCAAATGCTCATTAATTTGGAAAGATTTATTCATGTTTCTACCAAGAGTTACAGGGATAGACAGTACATTTGGAAGGTCCTTGCCAAAAAACAATATTTCATGTCTTAATATACCCCTATCCTTACAAAAGGAGTTTAGCTCAAATGAAAGTTTTTGATTTAATAAAAACTGTTAAACATGACAGGACTTAGGATCAAACGAACCCCTCAGCCCAGTCAGGCATGTAATTGACCCACCTGCCATCTGTGTAAAATGCCAGCCAAGAGTGGGAACTAATTTCAAGTGCCATCAGTTTTTTGGCCTCAAAGGCCACAAATGAGCACTGTGACTTTTAATTTCCTTGTGTGCCTTTCCTGCCCTGACCGTCCCCTCCAAATCTGGAGGGAAGAATGTGAGAAGCAAAACTCTGAAGTTAGAAACCAACGGGGAACCGTGCCATACATACAGCTAAGAGTCGGTGGGGTTGGCTGGCGTCACTGGGAGTGGGGCCTACAAAGAGAACACTTACGAACAGAGACAAAAGTCGGTGGGGGGAATCGTGTACTGTAGTGAGGAGAGGCACTCTAAACTGTGTCCTGTTCTCAGGCAGCCCTGACCGGGCAGGAGCAGTGAAGTGTGCACCCTATCAGATTACCACATGAATCACCCAGACGACCCACAGGGACCTTCAGCTTCTAGGACAGGGTACAGTAGGTTTTCCAACTGTCATCTCTTATACATAATTTAAGAGTCGATTTAAATGGAAGTCTTTCTCTGTGATAATTTGTACACACTAATAATGAAAGCTTATCTCAACATCCAGAAGCAAACAGTTTGAGCCAGACATGTACAACTAAAAAAGAGAAAAAGAAAAAAAGGAAAAGATTACCCTCAGGGCCACAGCAAACCAACTCCCACAGTACACTAAATCCTACTTCCTCCCCCACCTCCTACCCTCTGAGGAATTAAACAACTGACTGACTGCAGAGAGAAGTCACAGAAGACAAAACATAGCCCATTACCTATTAAGAGAAGGGCCTGTTTTCAGGGTTCCCCTCACCTACCACTGGTTCAATATTCAAAAGAAAGAAAACACTGCCTTATCACCAAGCTCTAGCTTCAAGAGTCAGAAGAGGTCCCTTTCAATGGAATCAATCTTCCCATTTAGGGAACCAACACTATTAAACACAAACATTTGTATGTACGGAGGATCACAAGCTTAAATCCCACCTTTCAGTGTCTTCATGTCTCAAAAGGACACTGAATGGACCTGACACTCTGAGCCTCAGTCACATTATTCCCATGGGATCACTTGATATGGGAGCAATATGGCAGCACACTACTGCTCTCAATCCCTGGGGCAGGTGCTCTGCGAGGGGATAAAGGCTGCCCTGGTACAGAGCTGTCACTGACTGATACCTTGGACTGTCAGAGGCTGAATGAGCATTGATAACCAAGCATCCAAACACTGTCCCAACCTTAATGAAAACGTCCCATTCCAGGGGTTCAGTTAAGAAGGTCCCCTAAAACTAATATAAGAAGACCAAAATGAAGTTACTCTCAAATTGAAATACAATTCCAAATTTAAAAATATTTCTTTATATAAAAAATTATTTTAATCATGGATCTCCTTTGTACTTGGTGTCTCTCCTATGGACTCTCCAGTAATGCTTAAAATTATTTTTTTTCTACCTACTCAACCAGTCCTTTGCAAACTTTGTTATGCACATAAATCACAGGGGATCTTATTAAAATGCAGAATCTGACTCAGGTCCGTGGTAGGGCCTGAAGTTCTCAAGTCCTGATAGGGCCTGGGCAATGCCAGTCCACAGGCCACCTTTGAGTTAGCATAGTACTGGACCATGACGCTCCCTGAGGACAGGGATCTCGTCTTTCCACCTTCAAGTCTATTACAGTGCCTTACACACAGCCAGCATTGAACAAATGGTGGTTGAAAGAGCTGCCTCTTTCTTTTGATCTTAACCTGTTTTGGACAAGGAGACAGCCTTTATGGCAA